GTGACTGATGATGAACATGAATAAGATGATGATGATCTGCTGCTCATAGGAGTTATATCTTGTCCCCGAAAGCAGCTCTAATTTCAGCTGCCAGCTGCTGTGGGGACGTCAGACTTTCATTTGGAAAGACTTAGTTACAGAGCGACCTGAGCGTGTTACAGCTTTATCACTGAGCGCCGGAGAGCTGAATGAGAGAATCTAAAAGGTTTCTGTATTACTGTTTGTCCATTTATTCATAAAAGATCTGATGGCAGGTTTGGATCTGCAATCTTTCTTTCCCCTTAAAACTTCTACGTCTGGACCAATACGAGTGTTTTAAAGGCCAATAATATCAAAACAAAAAAAAGTAATGTATAATTGCATTATTCCATGCACATTACAATCTAATATACATGGTTGCCTTACTCACTAACATGTTGTTTGGATTGTATTTAAATACTTTGTGAGATTTGGTATCAGTTGCAATACCACTGTAGTAACTATGGACAGCTGTGCACGTGCATTCGGTATGATGTTACGATGAGGTGGAGCAGCTGGAGGACATCAGCGGGAAAACAGACACAACAACACAACATTTTCTTCATAAGAGCATCCAGTTTCACCAAAATCAGTGACATGGTTGGTTGGTGGGGCGCTACTACTGCTGTAAAGGCCGTACGAAGAGCAAGAACAGGCGTACAGGGCGCACAGCGGGAATGACAGAGGCACCATTCACCCTGTTACAGCCAAACGATAGTGAAGCTGTTATTTTAAGGTTGAAAAGTTACATGATGTTGCTTTAAGGGAGATCAGGGTACAGTCTATCAGCGTTCAACTGTATTATTCTCTACATTACATATATATAATATCAATAGATTAGGTAGAGCTGAACGAGTATGGTCAAAATGATAATCCTGATTATTTTGATCAATACTGAGATCACGATTATTTCACAGTTACAGAGCAGCGTTGTCATCCAGGCTGCAGCTGCTGAGTGTGCGTGCAACGACATGACAGCTCCGCAAAAGTGAAACCAGAACGTCTCGATCACCCGGGGGTGACAGTGTCAGTTTAGGAAGCTGCAGCAGTTTTCTACGAACTGAGCACTTTAAACATCGATAACGTAGACAATCACGTTCGTTTAACTGTGGTTAATATTCTATTAAATGTGCAGCTCTAATTTGCTCTCATTTAGGAAAAATGTGTTTTAGAAAAGACAAGTGTTTTCAGAAGGATGTATGCGAGTTACAGTACAACTCACAAGAGGAAGCGCTAACATCGATCCACACTGACCAGGCTTCCTGCAGATGTGTCTGCCCTGTGAGCCCGGGAATCCGCAGAGGCCGATTCTCTCCAAATGACTAATAATCGGCTGATTAATCGCTGTGTTTATGTTCAGGTAAAAAAAAAGACAATAACTTCAAACTCCCAAAATTCCTCACAACTGCCAGTGGAGCTCAGTGGAACCGAGGAGCCAAAGACATCCAGCTACCTGCAGGCAAATTAATCTAATCTATGTCTGACCACAAGAGACGGAGGAGGAGGAGGAGGAGACTCAGCTGTGATATCAGCGGAAGAGAAACACGATGATATTGATGAAAAACTTCCATTACAGAATGAGTTTGGCTCTGCGGAGCTGATGGGAAACAGTGATGACTCAGAAGTGAAGAGTGGAGGTCCGAAGATTGCGATGACACAGCAGACTTTCCTCAGAACACTGCAGGATCACCAACAGCTGCTTCTGTCCTCTGGCAGCATTTCTGTTATCTCTTTATTTGTACGGTTCTTCTTCTAGAAGTGCAGGTAGTCACTGTGGTAGTGGGTGCAATGAAAACTGAAGCTGCTGCAGGCATAGTACTTGTGGGTAATGACAGTAACCGTAGTAGCAACAGATCAGATCTACAGTCATAGCAGTAGATGAGGCGGCCGTGCCAGTAACACAAGAGTTAAAGTGAGCTGAATGAAAACAAAAATACAGCGTCAGAGGTTGAGAGCGTCACCTGGAAGTCCTGAGGGTTCCTGCCGATCTGGTTGACGTTGGGCAGCGAGCCGCTGTAGTACGGACCCTGACTCCTCGCAAGACGGAGCTTCTGGGCCTGGAGCTGACAGGACGAAGACAAGAGGGCAGAAGAAGAAGAAAAAAAACATTTAGATGATGAAGAACACAGTCAGTCAGCTCTGATATTGTTACTGTATGTAAGAAATTTGGCATTGACCAGGCCAGTTTAAACGCGCTGAGCCGTTTCCCGACATTAAACCATCTCTGGAGCTCCAGAAGCGGGTTGCTGTGACGTCTCGCCGACCGCAGCCAACGCCCTGTGTTCTCAGACTCAACTCATGTCTGTACATAAGACGTTTTTTAAAAGCATTCAGCTCTCGGTACTTTTGTAGCTTCTAACTGAATCTCTGTGGTTTCCAGTTTCTCTCCGTTCCCCCGTTCGTACTTTCAGATATCTGCTTTATTCTGCTGCTTCATGTTGGCTTTCTGATGAACTTTCTGCTGATGACAACCAAACGTTTCCTGATTTTGCTGACTCACAATAAAAGCTTTTAAAAAAGAAAATAACTTTTATTGTGAAGAATTTATAGGAAATTAAATGTTTTTATCCCCAAATTAGTGGCTTTGATTCAATAACAAGTCTACGTACGGCACAGATGAAGGTGGACGAGTTATTTACTCAATCTTGAGCTCTCTCAACCATTGCTGCTCCCCTGCCTGTACAGATACACCTTGGTATGGAAAAGGCTTTAAATTGACCCCAAACTCTTCCTGTACAGCGTGAAACAACCGCTTTAATCGCGGCCGTCCATCCGCCAGCGCTCCTCGCTGGTTTTACTGAAATTAAACAGGACAAACATCAGAAGAAACCCGAGGAAGCACACACATGCTTAGATCTGAAGGTCCCTTAAACACAGCGTCCACTGGAAGGCGACTTGCCCTAACCTTCTGCATCGCCCTTGAAGAAAAACTCCCAACATGCTCTCTGTCACCCCTGTCACACACACTTACATAGCTGCATGTAAATGATTGTTTGGCAATCCCTGACTGATGGAGTTTCTTTCATCGGCAGCGTCAGTTCAGAAGTCACCAACATTCACTCTGGGGACGATAAAGATAAACAGGCTGGGAAATATTAAAACAGGTGTGAGAAACTGTTTAGATCTTACTTTAAAGGACGCGCGTGTAGGAGAAACTACGGTGGCTGTGTACACTAATGACAAGTAGGGCTGTCCACGATTTTATTCAAGGCAAACTCCCGAATTCAAACCTAAATGGAAGAGAAGCTCGACTCTGGACCACAAACAGACCTGCAGTCGGTACGCTGGTGTGAGTTTGCGGCGCTGTACTGGACGGATACTGTCGCTCATAGACGATGGTGCTTTCACTTCCAGGCGTTCTGATTTTACTTCAGATCTAGTTTTTTTCTTTCTGTTGCAGCATTTGTTCGGCCTCGAGAGGAAAACTGTTGAAAACACAGGTATGTTAACTTCTTCTACTTCTTTTTACAGTGTTATTTCTATACTGTCACTAACAAAACAAGCTTGACCTCTGACCTCTGACCTCTGTTCACAACATACGGAGCAACTGACTCCTTCTCTGCTATAATGAACCCATAATGCTTTGTGGTTCATTTTTAACCTTCTGTGAACCAGATTCCCTTCAAAGGACGATAAACGGACTGAAAAGAAGATCTTGAGGTTTGCAAACCTATAAATATTAAAAAATGGTATATATTTACAGTCAGGAACACACACACACACACA